TTTCCCTAGGTCCATCTCTTTTTTTCCAAGCCTGGGGTGATTCCTCTTGCCCCTGTCCAAAGGCGCTTCCTGTGGGAGTGTGTAGATGTATGCACACGAACGCAGGGACAAATCCAGGCTGGAAAGGAGGAGGCGCTGGAGCCCTGGAGTAGCGAATTGCATCAGGGGCTGCACTCATTTTCTTCTCTTTTGCCTATCTTCCTTTCCTTTCCACTTCGCCACCTCTTAATTTAACGTCGCCGTCTGTTGTGCAGGCTCAACGACTTAGTCCCAGCAGCGTGTGACCTACTTCATAATTTCTTGCTGGTTTCCTAATTGAAATCACAAGATCAGGGCCCAACAAATCCATTTGGAGTTTCTCAGCTGGATAACAACCCCAATTAGACGGAAGAAAGTGTGGCTTCCAGGCTGTCCACGCACACACTGACATTTCCCTTCCTTCCTTCGGCGCCTGTTACAGCTCTGGCTATTTGCTGTTCTTAAAAATCGCGGCTAAGGATTGTGCTATGAGATGCTCCTCTGCTCTTCTGGCTGAAGAAACCATGCAGTTTTTTCTTTCATGTTGTGCACTGTGTTGTTATGGACACTTCCCTGCCCTACCACCGGCTGTATCTTGGCAGGTGAAGGCGAGGGCTCTGCCCAGGCAGGGCACTGCTCTATCACCTTGGATGGGGCTGCATTCAATAAAAGTGGTTGGTTCTGCTTTGCTGGAAAAAAATATTGGTTATCAGTATCAAAACCACAGGCTGGGAGCACCAGCCCTAGATGGTTGCTGCAAGTACCTGGACACGGATGTATGCATTTGTTGTATGGGCAGAGGAGAAGCGGGTGGAGGCTCAGCTCTGTACAGATGGGGGGTGGTGGGCAGTTAGCCTTTGAACAAAAATGCTGGGGATCACAACCGACGTGGGAAGGAGGTGAGGAGAGCGGAGGAATCTTTCTTTAGGGCCAGTTAAAACCTACTCCAAGGGTGCTGGTTGTAGCCGTGTTGGTCTAAGGATAGAGGCAGACAAGGCTCTTCGGATAAATGTGATCTCTTTTATCAGGCCAACTAAAGAGTTGGGAAAAGTGTTCTTTGCAAGCTTTTGGGTACAAACACCCTTCTTCAGGCAGAGGAAGCGTCTTAAGAAGGGTGTTTGTACGCGAAAGCTTGCAAAGAACACTTTTCCCAACTCTTTAGTTAGCCTGATAAAAGATATCGCCTCTACCCAAAGAACCGTGTCTGCCTCTGAACAATGACATTTGTCGTCAAAGACGGAGCCCCGAGGCGCCTCCCTCCTGCCTGCGATCTGCCACCCGAAGGCACGAGCCTGGCTTGCTCAGAAACATGTGGTGTCCTTCTGCCCTGGCGCACGCACAGCTGGCTGCGTGTGTGAGGCCTTTGATTTGGGTCTGCAGGGGATGCTCAGACTATGAGCTCAGAACTAACCGATCACATATTTGGGCCATATGATCAGCAGCCACCTGACAGATGCCGGGACTGCTTTCATGTAGCAGCGGGATCCTTGGAGCCTGTGACAAGGAAATGAGCCTCATCTGCCCACTCCACTACCCGGAGCAACCAGCCTCCACACTGCCCCTCAGCCCCGGCCACCAACCTGAAAAGAGCCAGGTTGCCAGCCGCTACTGCACGACTCTGCCAGGATTACACCAGCATCGGAGCCTCAACGGGCACCCGGCCCTGCTACCCTACCGCCCTCAGTGGGCTGCTATGGTTGCTCCCTGGAATAAGACTAGGAGCATTTCAGGGCCCGTTAACCCTTAGCACACTGGGTTTGGGGGCCACGTGAATGCAGCCTCACACCAGTACAGCCTCTGCCTGGCCACAGGAGCGAGTGCATCTGTGCGGGGCCAGCCGGGGCAAGGGGAGTAAGCCACGTGATGCTTGCCCTCACCCATCTGCTGTGGTTGGCATACCCTTGCAGCCATTTTTCCCTGCACTGGGTGCTCAGGGAGGTCCCCATGCCACTGGCCCAATGTTCCTCGTTCCTACCAGCAGCCTATATGGTGTTAAAACCGAGGCTGGCCAGGTGCTGCTTGACTGACCGTGCATCAAAGGCTTAACCGGATTCTTGGCACGTCGCTGCCTGGCTCTGGCGAGCAAGTACAGAGACTTAGCTTGGGGCAGAAAACCCAGTAAACACCAATTACTTGATTCTGGGTCACTGGGAGAAGTCAACATAGACACAGGCAGGCGCTTCCCAGCAAAGGTTTTGGAGAGCAGCTGCCCAACAGCACCACGCTCCTGGGGTGAGTGTGCGTCTGTGTGTACCTACCTACATGGCACAGACCCTTTATACACCCATATAACCCTGGCTCTAGCCTTCATCTCCGCTCCCAGCCTTTGCTGTCGAGTCCGTCACACCTGGGGGCATTATCCTGGCTGGGGGGTGGATCTCAGGACACTGCCATTCCCCATCCTGGGGTAAGGCTCTCTGAATTGCCATTCCTAGGCCTCCTGCAAGGCCCTGCTCATGATTGCAGCCAGGGACTTGCAGCTAATTGGCAAAGGGGAGGGAAAATTTATGTGCAGACACTGAACCTGCCAGTGAGAGACGCCAGAGATCAGGACCTGCCGGGAGATTCAGGCAGGAGAGAGACGGTAAGGAGAAGAGAGAAAGCCCCAGACTTTAAATGAATCCTCCCTAAGGAGCCGCTCACAGCTCAGATCTGCTCCATCGGAGAGGCAGGAAACAGCCCCTGGATCGCTCCTCTTGGGGGACTGT